ATATAGAGCAACATAAAATATGAAATTACTTTTGTAAAATTTTATGTATATGAGATATAACATATACTCTAACAAAATTCACATAAAATATAAACTTACTTTGTAACAATTTTCTTCATGGTTGGATTAAGTTCCCGATGAAGTGAACAAAAGACGACCACAATATTGTCTCTTGGACAAATGACTATTCATTTCCAATGGTCTCTGTATGTGTGCGTGGAAACACAAAAAACACATCAAATATCTATGTTATCAAAAATAAAAAAAATAAAAAACACAATTTCATACAAACTTACCCATGAATAAATGGTAGTAAGTGACACACTCTGTTTTCGTCACGTAACTTATCTTGTATGTATTTTTTAACCTCTGCTTCATTTTTTTGCATATTATCAACATACACACACCTAGCAGGGTCCATAAATCCATATACTTCCGATGTGGAATTATCAATACATACACGATAGTGCTTACTAAAAAAAACATTGCAACTTAAAAGAAAAGAACACCTAATATAAGAGGATTAACCTTCCAGTACATACCGTAAGCAAATATTCGGAGAATATTTTCCTACAGCTCCCATAGCATCAAAGCTATCATAGACTTCATAATAATTCTTGCTCATGAGTTTGGAAGAAAATGGTGGAATGATTTATGAATAGTGTATGTGGGAGAAAAGAAGAAGTGTATTCTATGTTCTTTTCTTTTTCTATTTCAACAGTCGAGTGTTATATTAAAGTGTGTATGTGTTGTCATGTGAGAAAAATGTGGTTTTTAAGGTTATGTCTTTTAGCAGAAAAAATGAAAGAAAGGTGAGGTTATGCGTATGGTATACAAGTGTAAGTGTACAGTGCAATTAGTATTTCACAAAAGAGTGGTCACTTTTATATAAACACTTCAACATGAAAAAAATCATTGTATCGAATATTATAACCTTTATATGTATGTATATACATAACTAATGTACATGTGAAAGATCCAAAATAATTTTACTGCATGAAATGTTATTCCTCCCAGATCTAGTTGAAATGTTCGTTTGTCTCTATGTGAGTCCCAGTGTCAATCCTAGTTTGTATGTATATTATAGGTTTCTCTTTATGTGAGTCTCAGTATCAAACCTATGATATACATGTACGAGTACGAGTATCAATCCTATTTTGAATAAACATATTTATTTTTTGTATTTTATAAATTGGGGATTAAAAATAAGTAGCAGTACACGATAAACATAATTGGTTTTTGTATTCTTGTGTCAGTATATGGCTAACTAATTCATAAATATGATGAGAGAAAATAATTAATCAGAAAAAATATGATGAGAAACTTACGTAAAAGGGATTTACCTCATCTTCCGCGAAGGGATTGATGGCGGCGGAAAAAAAAGAAGAAGAATGACGGACGGCGGCGGCGGAAGAATGGTAGACGGTGGCGGCAGAGGAAGAAGAAAAACAATGATGGTGGAAGCGAAAAAGAAAAAAAATGGAGATGGAGACGGGGAAGCAAAAAGAAGAACGATAAGAGATTTTTGAGAGTTGGAGAATCTTAATAGGGTTTTGGGATTTTAAGAAACATTTTTATCGGTTGGCAAATAGGCCTGATGTAAAAGGTTTAATCAATTTTATTTAAATTTTTATTTAGAATCTTCTTACATCAGTTGGGCTAATTGGCCTGATGTAAAAGGTTTAATAAATCTTATTTAATTTTTTATTGAGAAACTTATTACATCAATTGGGCAAAATGACCCGATGTAAAACGTTTAATCCGTTTATTTTTTTATTGAAAAACTTTTTACATCAGTTGGGCAAAATGACCCGATGTAAAACGTTTAATCCATTTATTTTTTTATTGAAAACCTTTTTACATCGGTTGGAATAAACAACCCGATGTAAAATGACTTAATCTATATTTTTTACTAATATGAAGAAGCATCTCATAATATCTGTATTTTTTATACAATTTCATAATTAGTGCATGTGATCACATTTTATATGAATTTTAAAAAGATATAATCTAGATGATATATACTAAAGAATTGAAATTTTTGTTTAATCCTTTTATGTTACAAAATTAAAATATCATGCAATTATTATCAGTTAAATATAAAACACTTAAAAAAATTTCAATTAAAATGACTTAATCTATTTTATTTATTTATTTATTGAGGACTTTTACATCGGTTGGGGTAAACGGCCCGATGTAAAATTTTTTATAACAAAATTTTTTACTATGAGTAGCATCACCAATATCTTTTATTTATTATTTATTATTTTAATTAAGAACAACCTATGATATACATGTACGAGTATCAATCCTATTTTGAATAAACATAGAAAAACTATAGAGAAAATAATTAATTAGAGAAAATACGATGAGAAACTTACGGAAAAGGGATTCACCTCATCTTCGGCGAAGGGATGGGTGGTGGCGGGAAAAAAAAGAAGAATGACGGACGGTGGCGGCGGAGGAAGAAGAATGGTAGACGGCGGCGGAGGAAGAAGAAAAACAATGATGGTGGAAGCGAAGAAGAAGAAAAATGGAGACGGAGACGGTGGAAGCGAAGAAGAAGAATGATAAGAGATTTTTGGGAATTGGAGAATCTTAAGTTTTCAGATAGAGTTTTGCGATTTTAAGAAACATTTTACATCGGTTGGGCAAATAGGCCTGATGTAAAATATTTAATCAATTTTATTTAAATTTTTATTTAGAATCTTATTACATCAGTTGGGCAAATTGGCCTGATATAAAATCTTAATCTATTTTATTTATTTATTTATTAAAGACTTTTACATCGATTGGGATAAACAACCCGATGTAAAATCCTTTATAACAAAATTTCTTATTATTTACGACACTGCCACCGTATTATTTTTTACATCAGATGGGGTACATGGCCCGATGTAAAATGTTTCACCCATTTTATTTATTTTTTATTGAGAACTTTTTACATCGGTTGGGATAAATGGCCCGATGTAAAATCTTTTATAACAAAATTTCTTATTATTTACGACACTGCCACCGCGTTATTTTTTACATCAGTGGAAATATATTTCTGATGTAAAATCTTTAAATCAAATATTTCTCACATCATATTGTTTATAAATCTGATGTAAAATCCTTTATCAAATATTTTTCACATCATATATCTAAAAATCTGATGTAAAATCATTTAACCAAATATCTTATTTTTAGTAGTGGATTTTCTCAAATACATTTGCATCCACACACTGATAGATGTAGAACAATGCTTTCTGATCTTTCTTTCTCGTATCTTTGTGCGCGTTTTTTTGTTCCTTCGTTGCATTTGCTGCTACTGGAACGTAACCTTCAGTGACAAGATCAAGCACATCTTGAGCACCGAACAGTACAAACATCTGAATCATCCAACGAGTCCAGTTTTTTCCATCAAACATTGGAAGCTTGGTGCTCAGACCACCGTTTTCGTTCATCTTCAACCTTGTGCAATCACTCCGATCTCACCAAACACAATGTTTCCCAATCCTGCAGAATCAGAAAATGTGATTATGTTACGATTCTGTTCAAAATTCAACACGAATTCAAGAAACGAAATCAACCACACAACGCCTCACTGTTTCGCTTGTGTTTCCCGTGTTTCCAACCGGGGCTCTAGATACCAATGGTTGGTGCACAAGGTTAAAAAGAAATAGAATGAGAGAATATATTTCTACTATGCAAATGACATCTGCAAAAGATGGTAAGGAAGAATTACTTAAAAGAAACATCTACCACTAGTCTATATATACACAGAGGGCCACATAAACAACATAATAAAATACTAAAATACCATCTAACAAATTTGATCACAAAATTTGTAAAATATAAATTATTTCTAACAATTTTCATGTATCTAATCCATGCAAATCAAGTCCAAGAGTTCAACTAACATTTAACAACAACAAAAAAATCAAATAAAGATAAATAGAAATTAAATAATTCTCTTCAGAACAAGAATTAGAACATGCTATTTTTTTTCAAAATTTTTGCAGTATCTCTTTAAGAATCACACTTTTCTTCTCCTCGTAATATTTTGATACTAATTCACACAATTATGTCCTACATTTAGTTTCGGGCCCGTGTAATCTTGAGATTTGACCGGAAAACATTTGTTTTTCTGTCCTTTTACAAAATTATAATTAATTAAAATGTTTGGTTTACAAAATTTAAATAGTTTATATACAATCTATAAAAAAAATTATAATAACAACCACGTGAACTATTTTAATATCACAATTGAAGTGTCTCAAAATTAGTTCTTAATAATTCAGCTTTAAATGATCAAAAACATGACCGTTAACCATAAACAATACTATAGGTCTCTTATTATTATTTTTTGGAAAGCAATAGGTCTCTTATCAAAATTAATAGCTCTAAAGAGAGTAGTTGGTAGTTAATTAATTGACAATCTTAAAAGTTTTGTTTTGTTCATTTCTTAAAATTGCAACTCATAGCATATATTAAATTCCAATCAATTAAGATTATAGTATGCACACGCTTCATTAGTATAAGTTAAGTTGAACTAAAAAAACTAAAGTTTATTATTCGAATCTTGATATTCGAACGTACAACCGACTAATATAAAAAGATCAGTTTTATTATCCAGTTGCGTAATTCAGATTAAATTTAGAACTAATTATATATAAAAAGATCAATTTTACTATCAGTTGCATAATTCCGTTTAAATTTAGAACTAATTATATATTACCAGACCCTCTTAAAAACGAGAGCTATTATTTGCATTTAGCAGGATTTAAACCCGAAATATTAAGAGGAGTACACTTTCTGAACTCGAGCCTTATGTGATTAATTGACACCTTGACAAAGTACAATCTAACTATTCTAACTATATCCTATGCTTCACTTTAAATCCTTATGGCAAAAAGTAAATACTACTTGAGATATGAGTCACCTATAAACTTGTATCAAAATAGCAATAACTAAAACTCTTCACTTCCTTCTGCATAATCAACCACACTTCCATCAAGATGAATAACGTTAATCCACCTGTTCACAAAACATCCAAACTTGCTAACAAAACCTTAGTTTTTGATTTTGAAGGCACTCTTCTAAGATCCACTTCACTCTTTCCTTACTTCATGCTAGTTTCTTTTGAAGCTGGTGGAATAGTAAGATCTCTCATCTTGTTTCTTTCATACCCTTTGGTATGGCTAGTTGGTGAGTATCAACTAGGTTTAAAGATTATGGTTTTCTTAACATTCTTTGGCATAAGGAAAGATTCATTCAGAATTGGTACATCTGTTCTTCCAAAATTCTTCTTGGAAGATGTTGGGTTGGAGGGGTTTGAAGCTGTGATGTGCTGTGAGAGAAAAGTTGCTTCTAGTAAGTTGCCAAGAATCATGGTTCAAGGTTTGTTGAAAGACTATTTAGGTGTTGAAGCTGTTGTAGCAAGAGAGATAAAATCTTGTAATGGTTACTTTTTGGGAGTGTTTGAGAAAGATAAAAAGACAATTTCGTATGATGTTAAAGCAACATGCATTGACAATAGTATTGGAATTATTGGTAGCCATGTTGAGTATATTGACCAGAAACTTTTCCCTCATTACAAGGTTTGGCTTTTTTTGAACACACATGTTCGATTTTAGTCGGTACAGATGTTACGATTACGATTTCAATACTGATGCTGCAATATTGATTGCGGTCGTTACATGTGAATAAGCTATAATTTGTTATTTACCACAAAAACAGTGAATAACGGTATCGGTACCGACTGTCTGATACTGTTTTGTCACAATTGTTTTTGCAATAAATTTTGTTACTTTTTTAAAATAAATTTTGAGTTTTTTTTTTTTCTCTATTTGGCAGAAGGTTTGCTTTAAGCTAAGTTCTGATGAGAGGAGAAACTGGAGAGAGCTGCCAAGAAAATTGTATCCTAAGCCATTGATTTTCCATGATGGAAGATTGGCTTTGAAACCAACTCTAACATCTTCATTCATCATGTTCATGTGGTTACCACTTGGAATATTACTTTCCATTTTCAGAGTCACATTTGGAGTTTCACTGCCTTTCAATGCATCAGCTCCAATATTAGCCTTCTCAGGCACAAGAACCACAGTTTCAAGACCTCAAACCTCGACCGAAACCGAGAAAAATCGAAAGAACATGCTTTACGTGTGCAATCACAGAACTTTGCTTGATCCACTTTACATTTCACACACTATAAACAAACGACTCTCAGCTGTAACTTATAGCATGAGCAGATTCAACGAGGTTATTTCCCCGATTAAGACGACACGGTTAACGCGCGATCGAGATAGAGACAGGAAATCAATGGAGAAAATGCTTAATGAAGGAAACCTTGTAGTGTGTCCAGAAGGAACAACATGTAGAGAGCCTTATTTGTTAAGGTTTAGTCCTTTGTTTGCTGAACTGACTGATGATATTGTCCCTGTTGCTGTTGATGTTAAGGGTAGTATGTTTTATGGAACAACAGCTAGTGGACATAAATGTTTGGATCCATTTTTTCATTACTTGAATCCGAATCCGGTTTATTTTGTTAACATTCTTGAGAGGATACCATCATCACAAACATGTCAGGAGGGTGGAAAATCTTGTGTTGAAGTTGCTAATTTTGTGCAGAATGAAATTGGAAAGAGATTGGGATTTTGTTGCACTGATTTGACTAGGAAAGACAAGTATATGACTTTGGCAGGTAATGAAGGTGTGTAATAAACAATCTTTGTCTTATGAGTTTCGGAAACTAGCTACAAGTTATTTTGTGTGGATCAGTGTGTCACTTATTATATAATATGCAGCTCTGAAAAATGGCGTGTGTCGGATTTATATATCTTTAATTTATTTATTTTTTAAAATTATTATCGATGTTGTTATGTCGAGTGGTTGTGTCCCATAAGTAGCTGATAGTGTGGTAAGGAATTTTTATTTATTTTTATTTTTATTTTGTTGTATAGTGTCAAAATATTGTACTATTTATAAGGGTGTTGGAGTTGTTGTGTTGAGAATTAATCTAATCTAAATAGTATAATATTAATAATGATACTTAATAATATTCTATGTGAATTAATCCTAATATTTCTAATTATAAACATGTGTGCTGTAATTAATTAAAACTAAAAATTAAATATTATATAAAAACACAAGTGATATCTCAAAAATAGCAATTTAAATTTGAGGATGAAATCAAACTTCTAAGAGATGATAAAAAGTTAAAATGGCCCTCCTTAAATTTTTTTAAGTCATTGGAATTGACCAGACGATATGAATAAGAAGTTATGATAGATTAATACCTTTTATTCTAACTCAGATGAATGGAAAAAAATCTGCCATAAAAAGCCTGTCATAAAGATGAATTCCTTGAGGAAGAGACATGTTCAAACACATGATTCTGACTCAGATGCTAATGAATACTGAGTTATCTTCATGGATTCAGGTGGTTGGTTAGAAGATCTTTTCTGAAGATCCATGTGTTTTTGCTAAGTTGTTTGGCCCTTGTATTTGGGCATATTTTGTTTTCTTGTTCTGGATCTGTAATGGCTTAATAGCCTCATGGTTTGTTGCGAATAGTTGTCCTGATGCTCTAGCATCTCGTTCAACATCTATGATATTAGTTTATGTTTGTCTACTTCTTATCCCTTGTGTGTATGTGCTAACATACTGACATCTATGTTGACTGACTTGTGAGGGCAAGGTGTCTCAATCCTTATTTTAATAATGTCAAAACGTGTCTAGTTAGTACTTTGTATTTTGGACGGTATCATCGAGTCTCATCAGCATTCATAGTTCTCTAACGCACGAAAATATTTTAAAAACATGAGTCTATTCATATAGAAGAGCATCATATGTGTTTTGTGTGTATTTGATCCTTTTGAGAGACTTAGGTGTGCATAAGTATTGTTTAGGTAGACCAGAACATGTTCAAAAAGTCATTTTTGGAAGTTTCGAATGCTTGAGTCGACTCAAAGCCCTGCTTAGGTTGACTCATGTAATGTGTATTTTGAGCTTTTACTTTCAGGTGTGGTCGCGTCGACCCTTCAATCGACTCATACTGTTAGCATTTGAATTTCTCAATTTTGGGGAAATTTGCGTCGACGCATGAACCTGTTCCGGTCGATGCACAAAGTCAATTTTTGCACAATTCTGAAATCGGGTGTGCTCAGGTCGACCCTCTATTTTCTTAGGTCGACCGTTCACTCGAATCACTCTATTTTTCTAATCTGTTTGATTTTCAATTTTCTGTTATGGTTATTATTTGGTCTTAAATATTCTTTTTGGCTCATTTTTTACAATACAACAAGAAAAGTGAAACATTGACACTGATTTTTTTCTCATCATCTTCATCCTCTTTCTTACACTTTCTCAACAACTACACATAACAATTTTTGTTGATCATTTTGCATCATTGATGTGATAACGTCCAAACATAGGATATTGTATTGGGCTTGGGTTGAGAGACCAGTGGGTTTTTCTTGAATAAAACTGTTAGGATTTTGTCCTCCAAGAATCTTGAGGCTTTGAGGGTTTTTGCATAAATAATTTCTTCATAGATTCAGCCGAGTGAAGGTGATTGAAAAACGAGTGGTTCGTTCAATATAGTTGTGGTAACCAGAGGATTGTGAAAGAAAGATTTGGGTTTGAATTGTGTGTGATTGAAATCAATCGGGCTAAAGATTTGAAGACTGTTGGGTTGTTCAGACGAGTAGCTGGAATTGGAGGTTTATTCAACACATTCGAGGCACTTGATTTGACTTGAATCAAGGGGAGAGAAGACATAGTATCAACATCAATAACTAGACTTGAGTGTGTGGTTACTATTGCTTCTCATGTACAAACTTTTGCAACAGGTTAATGTCGTAACTGCGAAAAACACTCGGCGGAAAACAGAAGAGTCGCCACCGTTCGTTATTTATACCAAAGAGAGGGAAAGGAAACGATCGAAGAAAACCTACGAAACGGGATAAGATTGGTCATCGCAACCGAACCTCGGGTTCGGAAGTCGGTTACGCAAGGGGAAGGTATGAGCATCCCTCACGTCCGTCGTACTCGACGGGATCCATGCTTGTTTTCTATCTAAGGGTGTGTTTATCTATCTAAGCTACAGGCTCACAGGACAAAAAGAAAAGAAAAGAGACTCGGCAGAGCATCGCCGCTCTGTGCCTACGTATTCCCTCGTGCAATGGAAAAGTCAGAGTCAACGTAGTTCGGAAAACTACGGGTAAAAGGTGGGGGAAGGTTGCTCGCCAAGACATCGCCGTCTTATGCCTACGTATCCTCATCTGGTATGAGAAATCAGAGCAAACGTAGTTCGGGCTGACACGAAACCACAGGTTGATTAAGTGTTTTCATCGAGTAAGGTTAACCTTCGTTCTAGTAGTTAGGGACGATGCCTATTTGCGGTAGAACCAAAGCTTAACAACACTCTTTTTGTGAAAAAGATTTTCCAATTAAGGTCCCGAAGGAAAAAGGTTTGAAGTTTTGTTTGTGTTTTTTCGTGAAGTGAATTAATTCGGTTTGTGATTCAGTTGCACTAAAGACTATGACATGGGAGCGAATGCGTCGCGTATCTCCCCCAAACGGGACGTTCACTAAACACTCTAGACAAGCGAGAGGAGACCCCTCCCTCAGCATTCCCCATGTGCTTAAGGCTCGTAGCGTACAATGTTCATCGTATTTATTAGATAAATTAATATGTTTTGAGATGAGAAGAAAGACGCACGGAAGGTCTAAGGGAAACTTGGTCCTAATGTTGTCATGCAAAGTGGACCTAAAGTTTGGATTAAATAGGGGAAAATCTATCCTAGTATTAGCATACTTGGATTTAACACCTAATGTTTCTCCTACTTCCATCCTAAACCAGGGGACTAGGAACCCTAGGGGGATCATGGAAAAAGACCAAGAAAGCACAAGATAAATTCAATCACAAGTGAGAAATGCAAACATGGAAAATAAACATGCAAAGAGGGAGGAAAATAATGTGGGGCAGCAGCCGCCACAAGCGCGTCTCGACCTCTTGAAAGCAAGCAAAGAATGCAATGTAAAAAAAGATATGCAAGAAGGCAAGCAAATACAAAACTGCAAGCACAAAAGAAAGCAATCATCAGAGAAAAATGGGAGGAAAAGAAGTGCGGGGCAGCAGCCGCCACAAGCGCATCTCGACCACTTGATTCTCGCACTCAAGCAAAACAAAAGAAAAATGCACATCACTTCGAACAACATATACGAGAGTATGCATCCAAGTGGAAAGCAAGCAGCCGTGTCGACGAAATCACAATTGAAAAATCATGAAGAGCAACACATATCCAAAACATCTCACTCCTAATGCATCACACTGATCCATGATGATTCGAAACGAAATGATACCGAAACAAGCATGAAAAACAGCAAAAACAGGCCTGCTGGAACAGTGTTAATCGATTAACACTAGGGGTTAATCGATTAACCACTGAAAAACGCTTGAAAAATTGAATGTTTGATCTGGTTAATCGATTAACAGCATAGGTTAATTGATTAACACTGCTCCAACAGCAGAAAACAGCAACAGAAAAGCACTTTTCAGCAACTTATCACTTAAGAAAACATCCACATGATCTCAAAACAATTGTGCACGAAATTAAACCAGAAAACAGTTATTTAATCAAGATGTAAACACATCTAAACAACACCATCACAATTCACATAGATCAAAATGAATCAAATCAATCAAAAATGAAGATCAACATGATTATCCAAAATAAGCTCAAAAATGCAATAGATCTAGAATTCCAACCTTCGAAGTGGAGAATTGCTTTGGTTAATGTTGATTCACTTCGAACGTGTAGATCTAAGCAAGAAATCCGGAATACTTCAAGATCCAAGCTAATCCTTGGAGTAGAAGTGATGATCCACCAAAATTAAGCAAAATTACTCCAAATAAGCTCTTCCAAAACCATTTCAAAATTCAGATCCAAGTTTGCACGAAAATTGAATGAGGAAATTGCTCCAATGAGGATGGTGGATGAAGGTTTTAGCTCAAGAATTCATTGATTCCAATGGAGAATCAAAGAATTCAATGGATGAAGAGCTTTGGTGAAGGTTTTGGAAAATGGAAAAGTTGAGAGAAACTTGAGAAAATTCTGAAGTTTAGATGAAATTATGAAGATTAGATCATTGAGGTTTGGAGTAAATCAAATAAATACCCCTTAGGTTTGGATCCAAATGAGAGGTTTGAAATGTGGTTTGTTAAATTTGATTTGGAATGAGGAATGGGAGTTTGGAGGAAAAATGAAATTAACCAAAATTCAAGCTGATTCTAGATCCTTCCCAAGTGTAAAATTGAACTTCCAAGTGATCAAAATTGGATCCCAAAGTGACCCCTTTTGAAAATTCACGTGCAGAGGCAAAATCTGCACTGGTTAATCGATTAACAATTTGGGTTAATCGATTAACACTGTCAAAAATTCAAATATGGCCTGATTTTACTTTGGTTAATTGATTAACATATTTTGTTAATCGATTAGCACCTTCAAAATTTTGAATTTGGTGCCTTTTGAAGGGAAATCTGCACATTTCCCCGTTTTCAGCCATTCTGAGCTCTGTTAAGCGTCTGAAATTTGCCCTTGAATGCTATAACCATGAGAATGCTTGTGATAACCTGAATGCTGCTTTCTGAGCTGAAAATACCCTACAAAATAAATTAAAATCGGTCGTCCGACCGCTGGGCAAAATAAATGCCA